TACTACCATCATGTAAAACTCCACATTTCAGCAATAAACATCATCATTAAAGAAACAAAAGCAAAGTAAAACCACACAAAATATATCCAACATTGGCTACCTAATCATATTATACTTCATATGTGTTTAGTATCTTATATAAAGGCATTAATTATCCTCCTACACTATATTCCTTTCTATTTTTAATCTATGCACATATAAATTTCACATGATATCAATATTTCAGAGAATAGGTATGTTATGTATCTCTCACATTATAGATTGATTGTGTTACAATGATATCCCAATTTCATATTTCATCAAAATTAAACATTAGTTCCTTTTTTTTCTAGTTTTAAAATGCCACCTATAAAAACCTATTAGGCTATTTTCTCTCTGATTTGAAGTTTCCCCAATTTTCATGTCCATTTGGAGCCAAGGAATGTCTAATTTGTAATCATATTTCAACTCTTCCTTCTCGCTTCTTCGATCTGCATAAACACCCATCAAATTCGGACATCTCTCATCCACCAGGGCCTTCTTTGGTATTTTGACTAGCTTACCACTCAAGTCATCATTTTGACAATTTTTTCCTTGATTCCTTCTTTGAAAATAGTCTTGCAGGGTTCCTTTGCAACCGCTATTCCCCACAGTTTTTCCTCTGGTTTAGAATGACATTGCTCACAACCAGTCTTCAGTATTGACCTGAGACACGGTTCTGCCATTCCTGAGAACAGTACAATGACTCACCTTCTTCATCCCCTTCTTCTCTGGTGCCACTGGTCTCCTCAGTAGATCTTTTGGTTGGAGATACCACTCTACTTTGTCTTATGGATGACATCAAGTCCTTAAAGAAGCTAACATTTAAGGATGGATAAATCCATCAGCACAGAATTTAAAGTTCAGCTCTCTCTAGTGATAGACCCACTGTTCCAAACATGTGCAGAACCAGATTGTGGCTCCTCTTATGGTGCCCTTGCTGGCAATCACATATTATTTCATTAGTGGGTTCTGCAGAAAACACAGCTTCACTTGCATTGTGAACAAAACAGTCTTCCATGTCTGCAACTTCAATGAAAATCAAAAATCTAGAGTCCAAGAGGAACAACGAAGTTTTCTGTTTCAGCAGCCTGCACTGAACTCTGTTGTTGAAATATGCCAAACCAAGAGCAAACCATTCCCTTCTTCTGGGGGCACCCTGGGACCGTGGAGTTTTCCAACGGTTACACAGGCTGTCTCTTCCTAGGAAGCACATTGGGGAATCAAAGTCCCAGTCAGATCCTTAAACCACTGAACTATCCAGTCAGCTGAAAATGGACTCTCTCTTTTAAAGTCACAAGAACTGCCCATAAAATATGTATCGGTGCATTATCACAGTCCTCACTTGTCTAGTGTCCTGTGGGCACCAGTCCTCCTCCAGTTACAGGTAACACAACTTAACTTCTTTTTTTAGATTAGCTGTTCAAGTTTCTTGATAACACTGTTGTTTCTTCAGGCAGTCTAAATAAAAACATTTATCTGTTCTGTTGCCTCCCCCTCCCCTTTTTTTTTAAAAAAAAGTCAAAACAGTTTTTGAGTTTTTGAGTTGCTGTGGATCAGGATGCTAGTGCATGGGTAAGGAGCTGTCATTCTGTGCTCCCTGCCGTTGTTTTCATCTGGATGCTTCGTGTGCAGCCCACGTTACAGCTGGATTCCTTTTTGACAGTATACATTTCAGACTGGGACATAGTGAGGGTGTAGCAGGTTAAAGGTTACCCTTCCCGCACACCCACTGGACTGTCAATACACGTTTTTGACCCTGAGCAGTCATATTGCATTTTTTTTAAAAAAAATAGGCACTGTATATAGAATCCTCTAGCTTTTTCCTTGAATTTCAAATTCCTCTGAAAATAATACATTACAGGCAGCATTTTAGTCTCAGAGTGAAATGGCACACATAACATACCTTTGGCCAGTTTCTGTTGCCATTGCCTTAATATATTAAAAAAACAAAACCCTCAAGAAGCCTCACCAAATTAACATATGATTGCCTTCCTCAAAAATTAACTTTCACAAGCATAGCAAAAATGCACCTTATGTGTGAACAAAAAAATTGATAAATGTTAAGTACAGCATACTGTAACTTGCTGTACCTGTAGCAATGTTGGCTCAATTATGTATCTCTCCTAGTGCATCATGGATATCAGATTTTAAGTTCTGTAAGTGCCATTTCTGTAACCAAGAGAATTTTGAAGCTTACCAGAATGAAACTTCCATTGTGAGTTGCCCTTAACTAAAAATTCATTCTTATGCTCATTTAGTACCCATCTGCCTCAGAGGAGGCCCAATGAACTCAGTGAATTTTAGTTTTGAGTAGATAGGCATGGGGAGACTTTGTTAGCATGATACGTTGTCTTTGCACTTAACAGACTCTTCATTGTTGAAATTCCTTGGCTAAAATCTTCTTATTTCTGCTACATACACTTGTGGAAAGGCAATGATGTCACCAGCAGAGACTGATTTTCAGTAATTAAAAACCTCTTGCTTCTATCCTGTACCTTTTCTGACTCCCATGTAATCCCTTTCATTGCATGGAGCCAGTGGGAAAAAAGAAGGAAGTTTTTAATTACGTAAAATCACCACCACCAGATAATGTTAGTAGCAGGGCAGGGTGAGGTTTTCCTTAATTAAAAACTTCTTCCTTTTATCCTGCAGCTCCCACAGTTTTCATATAATGAAAGGAATTAAGCAGGAGTTGGAAGAGCCATAGGAAGTAGGAAATTTCTAATTACATTATCACCCATTCATGGGCGTAAGTTATACCATAGGACTTAAGCCCCTATGTTCTTGAGCTGCCAGTTATTAACATGCTAGTTTGCCTTCATAGATATTATAGATATTAACACATCAAACAAGCTACTAAGTGGGAAATATTGTTTGGCCACTTAGAATGCCTCCTTCTTCCTTGCCCCTCTCTAACAGTGAAAATGCTAATTATCCAAATGATATGTTAAAAGTCCCATGACTTTCCATTTAATATAATAGAAAATTTTAGAAGACAAAATTGTATTCTAAAAATGAAGGAAGTAGATACTTCAAATATTGAAAAACCCAGAAATCTGTAATTCAGATAATTATATAAATGCAGTTTCCTAGTTGCTAAAAATATTTTATAGTGTATCTTGGTTTTCTAGATATATAGCAGGATAGTTATTCCTCTCTCTCTCTCTCTCTCTCTCTCTCATACATACACCATTCATTCATTCATTCATTCATTCATTCATTCCCCCCAGGAAGGAACATCTGCAATGGAGAATCTCAATGAAATGCAGTGTATGTGGTTCCAGACAGAATGTGCTTTAGCTTTTCAGAGATTAGGAAAATATGGGGATGCCTTGAAAAAATGCCATGAAGTGGAGAGGGTAAGTAGGTAAACAAATTGTTTTTTCCCCTGATTATCATTTTCTTTAAGGGACCTGGGCTTTCTTATTGTACCAACTGAGGATTTAAAAAAAAAAAAAATACAAAATCAGTTTTGAAAGACATCAATGATTCCCAGACAAGTCTTACTATAAATTATACATGGGACTATTTGTTAATTATAATTTAGAGTGAAACTACAAGCAATCTTTTTTTTAGTAAATGGGAAAATAAGTAGTGCCCTCTGCCCAGTCAGCAGTTCATTTTATAAGAGAACTGGTTGGAGCGAGGGAGGAAGAGTGGTAGATCCAGTTGATCCCATCCTTAATGGAACTTCCTGAAGTACATAGCTTTGACCTGGGACTGAAATGCCTACAAAAGATTTGAAATTAAATTAGTATTAAATGCAGATGTTAACCCTGCTTCCGCATATCTTCTCCCCACATTCTTGCATTATAGTTCAGTGCAAGTTGAAATTATAGTATGAGAAAGGATGTAGGTAGTGTCCTGCTCAGCATACTGTGACCAGTGAATGCGTGTCTGTTTGTAGGTAGGACTCTCACAAATGAAATTGGAGCAAGATTCTTTGGGATATGTGTTTTTATTCATTGTGATGCACATAGTAGTTACACAGAAGTCAAGCTGTTTTTACACTGTGTTTTGAATCCTAAAATGTTAAAGTGAGCTAAAAGTTAAAAAGTAAACGACATTATGAAAATAGCACCCTTTTTATGTTTGTTGTTTAAGCACTTTTTTGAGATAACAGATGATCAGTTTGACTTCCATACATACTGCATGAGAAAGATGACGCTGCGTGCCTACGTTGATCTCTTGAGATTGGAAGATGTTCTCAGAAAACACGCCTTCTATTTCAAAGCTGCTCGGTCAGCAACTGAAATATACTTGAAGCTACATGATAATCCACTAGCCAATGAAAGCAAAGAACAAGAAGTAAATTCAGGTATTTAAGCAATAACTGAGTTCAATATACTTTTTCAAAAAGCTTTGTACAGGTCTTTAACTTTGAGAATTTTAAAGGCTTTCATTTCTCCATTTAATAATTTTTCATTCAAAACTAAAATGTAATGCTAATTTTTAAAATAATAATGGGGAGGGGAGTTTTTTTAAAGAAAAATTCAAATTGGCGTGGTAGTCAGGAAGAGGAATGCTTGTTTTAGAGCAGGGTGAATGATGGACAATATGTAGCCCACAGATCATATTATTTATTTTGAAAAAAATGTGCTTCAGAAAGTCCCATAATGTTCTCTAGGGGCATGGAAGGCAATTTTGGCATGTTTTGAGCTGGGCCTAGTAGCCCTGTCCTGTCTGTTTCACTCTGAATCCAGAAAAGTTTTTAAATTTAATTTTTAAATAAACATTGGCCACAAAAAACATTTTGGAAGAAAAATAGGGGACATCAGCGCCCAAAGGTCGAGGGGTGTGTGTGTGCCTTTTGAACACTGCCCAGCCTCGTTCTAGAAACATATGGGACATTGTGGATTTCCTAGGCTTGAGGTGTTGTAGCATGTACAGCAGGGATGGACGAAACACCTGTTGAGATCTAAGTTCACTCCCCGGCAACCCCTATTTTAAACCCCCAAGACATCCAGCTTTACTCTTTAGACAGCATAGCGGTCAAAGCTGCCATGTTTTCTGGGACCTAGCATCTGTGCCTCTACACCCTAAGAAAGACCTGCCTTTTTTTACTGTATGCATTAGAGGATGCAAGAGGCTTTTGCAGTAAAATAAAGTGTTAAAAGGAGGTGTAGACTGAGGAGGACTGAGTGTAGCCTTTAAAGGTTAGAGATAAAAATGTTTATACCCCAGACCTGTAGAAATTGTCCATTTCACTCTACAGGGCACGATGGTAGCTGTTTGCTGCCCAGCTCCAGTCTTCAAAATTTCTTGTAGCAAATTTATTATTACAGTGATACCTCGACTTACAAACTTAATCTGTTCCGGAATGATGGTTGTAACTCGAAATGGTCTTAGGTCAAAGCACAATTTCCCATAGGAATTCATTGAAACCTCATTAATCATAAAAAAACAAAACAATAAATAAATAAATAAATAAAACATACAACACAGCAAGCCACATTGGAACGCACCGGGACTGGAAGAAAATCACCAAAAAACAAAAAAAACAATGCAAGCCCCATCAGAACGTGCTGTGGCTGGGGGGAAAAATCACCAAAACAACAACACAGCAAACCCCCCCAACCCCCCCCAAAAAAACACAGCAAGCCCCATTGGAATGTGCTGGGGCTGAAAAAAAATCACCCCCAAAACAGCACAGCAAGCCCCATTGCAATGCGCTGGGGCTGAAAAAAAATCACCCCCCAAATCCCCAAAAAACACAGCAAGCCCCATTGGAAGGCGCTGGTGCTGAAAAAACAAACATACCAAAACACCAAAAAAATAAATAAATCACAACACAGAAACATAACACCCTGCCAGCCCAAACCCACCCTGCAAAACCCTGTATGTACTCACTCAGAAGCAAAAAGTAGCACCAGGCAGTCTGAAGCCTCCTCTACCCGTTGTGGTGAAAGAGCTACAAAGAAGCAGCCTCTTTGCTGACCAACGATTAGTACATTTGAATTCCCCACCTTTTTTCCAGTCGTAACTCGAAGCTCTGTTGCAAGTCGAAGCAAAATTTTGCGGCCAGAGCTGGTCCTAACTAAAAATAGTCGTAAGTCGGGATGTTCGTAAATCGAGGCACCACTGTACATCGATTTGTCAACCCTGTACACTCCAAATGCATTTGAGTTTTTGTTCATTTCTCTGCAAAAGACACAGCTATCCTTCTGAAAACCATTACAGAAATCATTACCTGTAGTGTAGTGCTTCAAGAGCATCCTTGCATAGTCATGTAAAATGTCTTCCAGCCTTATGCAGATGCTGTGATAATTGATTTGACTTTACTTCCCTATTTATAGACACAGTCATCCATTGAACATGTCAAATGGTGGGGCCAACATCCCAACCAAAACTTTAGCTCTGCATTAATGTCTGTGACTACATAGAAAACCACTGTTGATTCCATGAACAATAGAGCCTAACCTATACAAAAACCAGGAAGGTTGCATGTTTCAGAGAAAAATGATGTAGTATTAATGGGAGATTTCAATTATCCTGATACCTGTTGGGAGACAAATTCTGCCAAATATGACCTTCCAAGAAATTCCTGGGTTGTGTGCCCGATAATTTTTTTTCTACAAAAAGTGGAGGAAGAAACTAGAAGAGTAGCTATCCTGGACTTGAACCTAACCAATAGAGATGACTTAGTGGAAGAAGTGGTAGCAAGAGGAACTCTGGGGAAAAGTGACCATGTGCCACTTGAGTTTGTGATTTTGTGATATCTTTGATTTTATCATGATTTTACTTGATCATACGTATTTGTATTTTAAACAATTGTGATGGCTTTTAGCCAATGCAATAAACTTGAACTTGGAATAATTCTCACTCTACTATTCTATGATTTTTATGTGTATATTTTCTACTCTCCATTGTGAAAATTGTAACTTACCAGTTCCTAAGAGGAATTATCCTGCTATTGTAACAGAATTGTAGTTTCTGGGGAGTTGTTCTGTCACAGACTTTTTGAATGTAGACATTATACTGCGTATAGTGACTTTTTAATAATCCTGAAGGAAACTATGTACAAAAATTAAGAGCTATTTGTTGTGTTACTTTATTCTGGCAAATTGCATCCAATTTAGGGTAGCTTTAATGAGGTTTTCAAGATGTGTGAGAGACTTAACGAGTGGTTTTACCATTACCAACTCCCAGTGAGGTTCCAGGGCCAAGCAGGGATGTGAACCCAGATCTCCTAGTCTATCCACACAGACTGGCTCCCAATTTATTGTATTTAGTTTAGATGTTTAGTTATTCAGTTTATAAATAATTAGAGTTATGGTTCCAGAAGTGGTCAGTTAATGGAATTTAAATAGGAAATGGAAAGATACCTATGCATATCAAATATAAAGCAAAGACTTTGGGTTGTCTTTCTGAAAAGGTAATATTAAAATATACATTCCATTATTTGTAGAAAACCTTTCTGCCAAAGAACTTAAGAAGATGCTTAGTAAGCAAAGACGAGCACAGAAGAAAGCTAAACTTGAAGAAGAAAGAAAGCATGCAGAAAGAGAGAGGCAGCAGAAGAATCAAAAGAAGAAACGAGATGAGGAAGAAGAAGAAACTAGTGGTCCGAAGGAAGAATTAATACCCGAAAAACTGGAAAGGGTACAGCTAAACTCTACCTTTGTCAAACTTATATAGGTTTCATATAATCTATTCAGAACTTTCTTATTGTTTTGTTGTAGTTTTTAATGGCAGTATCAAATAAAGCCAAAAATATTTTCAGGAAAATTTGGATCAATTTAAACGTTAGTGTGATTTGTAGATTCCCAATAGGGTGGGCTTATATGTCTCATTCTGTCCAAGATATGCTGTCTGATCAGGTATTTCCATATGTATCCTCACAGAGAGATATACCTCACACCACACATACTGCAGAAACGGGGCATATGTATGTCTGATTGGCTGGCATATTGTAGGAATAGAGACATAAGACCAAAACCTACATTCAGCAAGTACATTTTTTTCCTGAACTTCAGAAGTTTGCAACTAGAGTAGTCCTTATATAGAGAGAGTAAAATTGTGCATGCTTTCATAATAATAATTATGTGCCATCAATTTCAACTTATGGTGGCCCTTTCCAGGATTTTCTAGGTAGAGAGTACTCAGAAGCAATTAACCCTACCCTTCTTCTGGGGACATCCTGGGACTCTGCAGCTTGCCCATGACTTCTCCTGAGAGGCACCGTGGAGAGTCAAAATTCCAATCTCTGGCTCTACAGCCAGATACTTAACTCACTAGCCAAAGTGCTATTTATTAAAAGCACTATCTAGCCTGCTAAACTATTATTTACAACTAACTTGAATTTATTTCATTGAAACAGGTTGATAATCCATTAGAGGAAGCTATTAAGTTCCTTATACCACTTAAGAATCTTGTGGCAGACAACATAGACACACATCTCTTAGCATTTGAAATATATTTTAGGAAAGGTAAGGTACATATTGCTATGAAATACTATATTATGTAACAAATACATACTTCTGCAATAATTACAGGTGTACATTCTCCCAATATTTAACAATATTTATATAGCAGTTTGATATTAACAAAATTTATCTGCATACCTTGCTAATATTTTAAAGTCTAGCAAATATTTTTAAATCTGCTTATGAATTTATACAATATTTCTAGGGGTAATATGATGTAATGTTAATGGTGACAGTTGCACAAATTACCGTATTTTTCGTAATTACAGGTGTACATTCTCCCAATATTTAACAATATTTATATAGCAGTTTGATATTAACAAAATTTATCTGCATACCTTGCTAATATTTTAAAGTCTAGCAAATATTTTTAAATCTGCTTATGAATTTATACAATATTTCTAGGGGTAATATGATGTAATGTTAATGGTGACAGTTGCACAAATTACCGTATTTTTCGCTCCATAAGACGCACCTTTCCACAAGACGCACCAAATTTTTAGGAGAAGAAAACAGGAAAAAAAAGGGGGCAAAATCACCACCTTCTGGGACTCTTCAGAGGCTTCCCAAGCCTCAAAAGACTCCCAGAACCTGGCGATTTCACTGGTGCTGGCCCCCGTGCAAGGGTGGGGGGTGTGGCAAGGGTCCTGGGAGGCTCCCTCGGACCCTTGCCACGCTCCCCCCCACGGTTCCAGGGGGGTAAAATCGCCAGCTTCTGGGAGTGTTTGGAGGCTTCCCAAGTTTCCACTCTCAGAACCTGGCGATTTCACTGGCGCTGGCCCCCGTGCAGGGGTGGGGGGGGCAAGGCAAGGGTCCTGGGAGGCTCCCTCGGACCCTTGCCACGCTCCCCCACCCCCCACGGGGCCAGAGGGGGTAAAATCGCCAGGTTCTGGGAGTGTTTGGAGGCTCCCCAAGCTTCCAAACACTCTCAGGACCTGGCGATTTCGCCGGCCCTGGCCCCCGTGCGGTGGTGGGAGGAGCGTCGCAAGGGTCTGAGTGAGCTTCCAGGACCCTTGCGACGTTCCCCCCACCTGGAAGCTGGCAATTTCGCCGGCGCTGGCCCCGTGGGGGGTGGGGGAGCCTCGCAAGGATCCTGGAAGGCTCACCCGGACCCTTGCAACACTCCCCCCCCAGGGGGCCAGCGGCGATGAAATTGCTGCCTTCGGTCCATAAGACACACGGACATTCTCCCCCACATTTTGGGGGAGAAAAAGTGCGTCTTATGGAGCAAAAACTACGGTAATTTTTACATTCTAAATGTGCTTTCTGGGTATCTAGTAGATTTGAATAGCCAAATTGTGGCCCCCAAGGAAAGAGAACTAAGTCCGTTGCAGCTCTTGTAAGCTTTCACCAGTGGTAATTTACCTCTTAAATTTTGGTGCCACGATATAATTCCCCATCTAAAATCCATACACTGGCGTCCTTTCTCCTTCCAGATCTTGTACAAGCTACTCAGCCTTATCTTCTGAACCAGGAGTGCAGGGAGAGACGCACTCCAGCAGTCCTCACCATTCCTCACCTAGGCTGGGCTGGCTAAGGCCAGCAGGAGTTAGGAGTCCCATCCAACAGCATCTGGATGGACACACTTCACCCTAAGCCCTCTGTGGCCTCTCTGGTTTTACGTTGTCACCCATTTTCTGCCAGTTACCTCCACTTGTCTAGCTCCACCATCTTCACATATTTGAAGGTCTCCCGTTCCTATGTTCTTTCTTGCTTCTTGTTCCTGAAACTATCTCTCAAAGGTCACCTCATATGCTTTATTTAGATCTTTCTTGAACCTCCTTTTTTACTGTAAAGCTTTTGGCACAGTCCTCTCATCCCCATATTCTGTTCGCAAAGAAGTCTTTGTGCACAGAAATGAAATAAATAAGTAAATACTTTTCTCTTGGTTTGCCTCTTCTCTGTTGTTCTCATCTTTTTCTGTTTTATTATTTGTGTTTGTCTATAAAACCTTTTGAGGCAGAAATCTAGCCTTTTTTTCTATTTAAAGTACCTTGTACAGAGTGTTACATCAGTAATAATATAGATCCCCATGACTCGCGTGTGTCTTATTAGAGTTAGAGAGAGTATCTGCAAAGATGAGCAAGGCATGACAGTATACCCAAAACACTGAAAGGTAAAGGAAGTTATACAAACTAATAATGTATTCCTTTTTTTATGCAGGAAAATTTCTATTAATGTTACAGTCCGTTAAAAGAGCTTTCACAATTGACAGTAATAACCCATGGCTACATGAATGTTTGATTAAATTCTCCAAATGTGGTAAGTATCAACAGAGTGTTTATTGTAAACTGTCTTGACAGAGCAAGCTGTGTAGTTTTGTCAAATACTAACAGAAATGTAGTGATGTATATTTTTTTTGCATTTTCAGTGTCTGATCATAGCAATTTGCCAGAAATTGTGAACAAAGTTCTAACACAAGAAATGCAGAAGATCTTCATTAGCAAAGATTTGGAAAGTTATAATGAAGAATTCCTCAAACGTAATTCTACCTCCATACAGCATCTGCTGTCAGGTTGGTTTGCATTGATATATCCTGATACATTTGAAGTAATTGATTGCAGAACTTGGAAGTGTATAGAAGAGTCCTACTAGTTTTACACCAAAGGTCAGTCGACTTGTGCTTTGATTTTTACAGTAAACAACTAGATACTTCTAGGAAAAGCCTGCAGCATAGTTTGAAGACAGTGCCTACTTGTAGTTGCTTTGCTCCATCCTTATGCAACCTTTATTTAAAACAGGAAGTTTCAACCATAGTTTATCTTGGATATCATAGCCAAAATGAACTTGCTTACTGTAGTAAATTTCACTAGAGTAGGTCTATAAATTCAGTGGGGATTTAGTGAGTCAACTCCTTAATACATGCCATTAATTCAAACGGGCCAACTCTAACTACAACTTTGCTAAAGTAAGTTGCAGTTAGAGCAGCCCATACAAATCAAAGAAACTTACAGAGCAGTTAACTCACCTTAATCCCCATTGATTCAGTGGGCCTTCTGTAGTAAAGTTTACTACACTAAAGAACAGGATTTTTACCAATGAACTCCAGCTGAACCAACTAGAGTTTTAAGTTGATTTCTAGCAATTACCTTTCTCTACAACTTTACTTCTGTGTTAATATCTCTTTTTCAGTAGCTTTTGTGTGGTAGCACATACAGGAATCCATATATACTTGAATCCAATCACAAACCTTTCTACATACATTCCAGCTTTGCTTATTGTAAAAATCAGTAATTTGGATCAAGCTAGATAAGCTTGGTCACTAATCAGTATCTACAGGGGATTGAACTTAATGTTTGCGGCTCTTTAAATGCAAAGAAAAATGCATATTCAGCCTTTATTTTTTTATCATAATTCACCTTTGTGTATGATGTGCTGCGACGCTGCATCCAGCTTCCAAAATATGTGACATATTTAAGGAGTGGATTTACCATTGCCATCTCCCAGTGAGTTTCTATGGCAAGTGGGGCTCTTAATCCAGGTCTCCTGGCTCCTACATCTTCACTCTGTCTCCTACACTGCCATAACTCTCTGGTTTAATCTTTAGTTTAGACTTTTTTATATTCATTGAGTAATGGCTGGCAATGGAAATTTCCCTTTTCCTACTGTGACCATTTCTTGAGTCTGGTCAACATCTTAATTTGGGTGTAGGGAAATCTGGCAAATTGGTTTACCTTCATTAATGCACAGTAGATATGATAAAATGCTTTTGGTTTGGTTTGGTTTAAAATAACTTATTTATTTATTTATTTAATTTATATGCCACCCACACTACCCAAAGGTCTCTGGGCGGCTTACAGCATTTAAAATACAATAAAAAGGCAAAATAAAAGGGCAAAATAATTAAAATGCAATTAAAATATATATTCGAAAAATTGCCATCAGATCTACAGCTAATTTGACTGTCCTTGTTGCCCTGTTAATGCTTATTTCCTATTATTAAAGTGTGCACAGACATGTTTCAGTGTTAGTGAAAAAGAAGCAAATCTACTTTTCCCTTTGAATGGCTTCCTGTATACAATATCCCTCAGTTTAAATATTCTTGTTTTTTTCTCTTTCAGGTGCCAAGATGATGTATTTCCTGGACAACTCAAGGCAAGAGAAAGCTATTGCTATTGCTACTAGACTAGATGAAACTATAAAAGACAAACATGTAAAGGTATTTATTATTACAAAATTTTCTATGTCTAGACGTTTAGCAGTATGCACTAATGACTGGAATCCTGTTCATCAAGGTGTGACAATGTTACACCATCAGCAAATATGTCAGGCATTCCACCCTCGCAACAAGGATTGTGCAGTTGGTTATACAGTTGCCTTTTTGACCAATTGTGCCGTGCACTGGTGAAAGTGCTTTGTGGGTAGCACTTCCACCTTAGTGCAATTGTAATTGCCACAGATGTAATGTCAAGTTGCATCCCCATAGCTATTAAAAAAAAATATTTCATCCAATGATTGGGTTGCCTTTTAAACATGAGGGCCAGAATCCTGTTGAAGAAGAATCATGTACGTAACAGCAGTAACACAAGTGGATTTCTTGTTTCCTGAGCTTCTGGTCACATTGCTTTCTCATGTGAGTAGTGACATGATTGTGTAGCATAGGAAGACCCAGTGTGCAAGCAGGGGAAATTGCTTGCATTACTTACACAGTTGCTCCTATGCAGTTGCATAAATGAATAGGATTCTGGCTGAGGTGCTTAGTAAGGAATATGTCAAGGAATGTTAGAAATTAGTCCAAATAGTAATGTCCTATTCTTGTAAAAAAAAAAAAAGAGATGTTCAAGCTGTCTTCACTCAAGTAAAGACTGGAAAGAATTGATGCTTTTATTATTGGAGTAGATTTCATAAAAGAATCCTTACTAAAGTTATTTTCTTTTTATCTTCAGACTTTAACAAGAGTTTTGGAGTCCTTACTTGATGGCAGCTTTGGAACATGTCACACCCAGAGTGAGGAGTATCGAATAGCCTGCCACAAAATGTTCCCTTTAGCTTCTGCCTTTATGTCTCCTACAAACGAAGATGATGGTTGTTTTTTATCAGTCAATCATACAACTGTTAATCATGATGTACTGTCCAATGAAATTTAAAGTAGGAAAAAGCTATTTCCCTTTCAGACTGGATGCAGAGTTCCTTCTGAGGATACGTTGAAACAGTGGAAGTGTGTAACAGGCAATTGAATGAAAATGTACTGTGATCATTTTCTCTCAACAAGAGCTGACAATATTTATGTAAAGATTTATCTCTCAGTAATACTGGTCATGTTTATACTTGTACAGTTATGAATCTTTTCATCTTAAATCACGCGCACTAAAATTGACCATTCACATAGATGTTGTTACATATACAAGTAAATACACTTATTTCTTACAAAACAAACCGAGAAAAGTTGGCAAACCAGGATTTATATAAAGTTGCATGTCTTGTCCATTGTTTCCATTTTTTAAAATGTTTCTTTCAAAGCACAAATCCTCACCATAGATAATAGCAATGTTCTGCCAATTCAGATATGGCAACAGTGCTGATTAATTTGGAGAGCTTGTTTGTGTTTTTAATTATTTTTAAAAGGATCTTTCCCCCATGATTGTTTGAATAGCTTAATTAACACTTTAAAACCAATGAATGTCCATTATATATTTGTTTCTTTATTAAGTAGCAATTTTGAAATACTATAACATCTCAAAAACATAGAAAGAGACAGTATCATCCTGTCCAGATAATGAGTTCTGTTTACAGTGCAGAGCTTATTAAAACTAAAGAGGTAAACTCTAATTCAATAATTCCTGAAATGTTGTTGCTGTAGAGGCTATAAAACAATTAGCATTTATGATTTGCTTTTTTAAAAATTAAAGTGAGCACAATTAGTCTGACTACAAATCACAGCTAAACTTTTTTATTTTGGTGTATACCTGAATGCATCACGCATATGACATATCAGGTTTTAATTCTATTGTCTTAAATGTCTTACTTCAGGAAGTAAATAGCTATTCATGATGACTTTATATAAACTGCTGTTAAAACTTAAAATACACTGTGGCTTGTACAAAAATACATTTTCTGGAAAATAATTAAACCATTTGGTTTGCATTTTATGGTTAATGTAAATATTTAAGTAATACTACTTAGGCCCTATGCAAAATTCAAGAAGGGAAGGTTTATCAAGACAACTGGTTCCTAAGACAGTCTTTGTCATATGTTTGGGATCAGTTGAATGAAAACTCACTGTAACATAATGCCAACCAATGTAATACTGTAATAAATTATTTTGTACACATTGGCTCTAGTTTTGTGTTTATGTATGTGTATAATATATTGGCCAGAATAACACTAACAGTGTAATTTTGGGAAGTGAATTGCCCCTAGTTAAGAAATCATCGTAGAAAATCTGTTGTGTACAGAGTTATACAACTCAGCACACATGTTGACATTATACTTTATTTCTTGTTTTGTTAGTCATATATGTGTGTGTGGTTTGATACTAGTTTTTCAGTGAATACATTTGTACATTCAATGAGAATTATTTAATCCTGAACTGAACAGGATTGTGGGACTCAGCACAGCGTAGTGGCCGAGGATGCAAGGAAAAGAGTTTACTTATCTTTAACTCTGGTTCTTCAAGTGGCCCCCTGTGAATTCACACTAATGGGTTAATCTGCGCTCGAGCAGAGCAGTCTCGGAAACTTCCACAGCTTTAAGTACTTGGTGCCGGGACCTCCCCTACACCTGGCTATATAACTAGGCCCTGGCACCTAGCCCTCAGTTCCAAAGAACCGACCGCCACTGCCCAACATGCCGTGGCACATGTGACAGACGGGAGGAGGGCAGGACATGTGAATTCACAGAGGACCACTCAGAGAACCAGAGTTATAGGTAAGTAACCTCTTCTCTGCTTTGTGGTTCTCTGTGAATACACACTAATGGGTGACTGGCAAGCTAGCTAACCAGGAGGAGGGTCATCACAAAAGTGCAGAAGCCAGGACAGCTCAACCTACTGCAGCCTGAGCCTTGGGCTGGACATTGAGGTGGTAGTGCTAGATGAAGGTAGACGGAGTGGCACATTGAGGGTGCCACAGCTCTAGTAGAGTGAGCTCTCAGTGATTTTGGAAGAGGAGTCTTTGCCAAGTTATAGGCAAGATGGGTGGCCTGGGCTATCCATCTAGAGATGGTCTTGAGAGGAAGCCGGTGCTCCAAAGGAGGAGCTAACAAAGATGACAAGGAGACACTGTGAGGCACGAAAAGTGGTTGTGCGATGCACATCATATGACCGAGCACACTTCCCATCTAGAGTGTGCAGTGCTATCTCACACGGAGAAGATGGTGTGGCATAGAAGGCAGGAAGGACAGCTGTCTGGTTTAAATGGAAGGCAGAAAATATCTTAGAGTAGAAGGTAAGGTCTGCCCGTAAGGTTACTTTGCAGAAAAGAGGATCTGCTCTTAGTGTAGCCAGTCCTCCAGCCCTGCAAGCTAAGGATATCGCCAGGAGAAAGGCAGTCTTTAGGGCTAGGAAGCAGAGCAATGCTGATGCCAAGGACATGAAGGGAGGCCTCATAAGCTGCCGAAGAAGTAATTGGAGAGACCACTGAAGTGTTAGTGGTCTATAGGCAAGGCGCATATTCTCCAGGCCTCAGAGAAATAGCTTGCAGGTAGAATGGACCAGTCACAGGCAAAACAGATGAAGGAGAAACTGAAGGAATGTGTCCAGAGACATTGGCCTAGTAGGCAAATGTCATCTTGATGCAAAGTGACAGAATGCCTACCCATTAAAGGAGTAGGTCAAGGTGGTAAAAGGTTTGTGAGCATGATTGAGCATAAATAAATATCTGTTATGTCAGGGAAGACTCCAAGCCGACAGGTAGAGGGACACGAGGCCTGGATGAAACATCCGACCCTTGTCCTGAGATAGTAGGTGAGGGACCAGCTGCAGCCTGATGTGTTCTGCAGCTCACGGGAGCAGGATCAAGAACCATGGCTAGCGAGGCGACCAAGCATGACGTTTGCATACTCATGTTGGACTCTTTGAAGAAGGGGGAAGGGTGGAAACCTGTAAAGGGGGCCCCATGACCTTTAGGAAGCATCCCCTAGAGAGTTATGGCTGATTCAGGAAGCATCCCCTAGAGAGTTATGGCTGATGCCCGTTCGGGAGCAGCACATGGCACACATCTTGTTCATCCGAGATGCAAAAATGTCTATGTCTGGAGTCCCCCATCAATGACAGAGGCAGCGAAAGAGGGCATCATAGAGAGCCCGCTCATGAGGACAGGACTGTAGTCTGCTGAGATGGTCTACTATAGAATTGTTCCTGCCTGCGAAATGTACAGCCACTGGATAAATGTGGTGAGCATAACACCATTCTGAAAGGTCAATGGTGCGAAAGAGAAGGCGTAACAAATGAGTGCTGGCCTGCTTGTTTATATAATAAACTGCAGTGGTATTGCCTGATGTGACCTGGACCACCCGACCTCGGAGTAGGGGCTCAGAGGCCCAAAAGGCCTTGGTGTTTGCCAGAAGCTCCAGCACAATGATATGAAGGCCGGCTACCAGTGGCCAAGAGCAATGTGGTGGCGCAGACAAACCTGCCCACCCGGCGGGCTGGCATCCACCACTGACTGAAACAACCAGGTCAAGTGACCAAAGGGTCTCCCTATGCATAGGTTGGGGGGGATCCCCACCAGTCCAGTTGTGCAGCGAGTTCTGGAGTCACCTGGAGCAACGTGGATGGGTGGTTGCAAGATATCTGAAAAAGAGAGAAACCAGGCTTGAAAGGAACATGGCATATGACAGTGGGGTATATTGAATCCAATAGCATAGTCGGTACTATGATAGGGAGCACCCAAGTATTAAACATGAAGGAACACCAATCGGAAAGACGAGGGGCCCAATGGCCTGACTGGTCAACAACAGAGAAGTCAGGTGCAGTAAATAGACTGCTTGATGTTGTGGTCCTGCCTGCGGATCTGCTGGTCAGGGCGCTGCCTGCCCACATATCTAGAGGGTGGTGGCTGGTAACTTTGGGGTTGAGGCCTTTGACGTTCCTGGTATGCCCTAAGCTGGTAGGAGCATCACCAGGTACTTGAGGTTGTTACACCGCAAATGACCATGCCGCCTTCGGGAGCTTGGGCAGGTTATCAAGAATAACATCAGTTTTCTGACTGAAAGCCGTACACCAACAAACTGCAGGTCCTCAACCTGTCAGTTGTTTGGATGCTGGTTTAAGGCATGTCGAGCAGCAATGTGCTCGTGATGTGCCCACCCCATTGCCTCCTAGTGACATGGGAGGCTTTACTGTAAAGGTGCACAGGAGTTACCCACAGAATTGGCAATGTCAAATTCAATAAGTGGTGATGATAAGCACCCATGGCAGAGGTGTAGTTGGCTACACAGTGGCCAGAAAATAAAAACACCAACCGAAGAACTTATTTGTTAATGGTAAAGGAGAGTGACTAACCGGCAACTGATATGGGAGTAGGAAGATGGGTTGGAAGTCTTTCTCCCTTCTGACTCTTGTGAGTCCCAGCTAAATAAGGTAAGTCCTTCTGACGATTAGGGGAGCAGTCTTTCTTAGTATGAGCCTGACCAAACTCAGTCTCAATACAGTTGCCGGGACAGAGAAGGCTGAAAGGGTTAACAGCGGGTTAGGTTGAACCCGCGGACACTTTGCTGCCAGAGCCAGGTTCAAGGGAGCACTACGCTTTTGAGGCATAGGTGGAGGCGCAAAGCACTCCTTAGCCTGTGGCTCAGAACAATGCCAGGTGAAGTGGGGTGGCGGTGGTGCAGAAAAGGTTCAAAGTTCCTGTACCTGATAAAAGGGACTGGTCCTGCATGAACTTGTTGGCATGATAGACCCTCCTAAGGAAAATTACACAGGTCTACCGGACAGTAGCAGGGTTTTAGGGTTGACTCCTACGAGTCCTTTCCTTATGAGCCTATGCAGGTGTCGGCACAGCTCCAAAAGCACCCAGCCATGTGTGACTGCAGCCACTGAACTGCCCAAGTCCTGTAGCTGGTCTGGCCAGACAACTATGCATCAGCTGTAGCACAGCTGCACAAAAGCACTTTGCACATGTCTCTCTGCTGTTTGTCTACTCATTGTCTAAAACACAAGAGAACTTCTGAGGAGAGATACCTACTCTATAATGTACAACAACTCTATGTACAACACCTCTGAGTCAAGTTTCTTTATTAGACAAGGTAGCTCAGGGCCATGCTCCTAGGGAAGGATATTGCAGGAAAAAGGGAGGGACCCAAACCCTATTTTCATTGATAATGATGAGAAGGGTGGGAAGGAATGCATGGTTTGCCAATCATGAGCTGTGTGAATGGGATGACTCATGAGGCTGAGGGGGCTGGGAAGACACTTGCATGGATACAGGCTGGTGCCCTAATAATCAGTCAGGATGTAGAGGTAGGCAAGATATCACTGGGGTTGATACAAGCTTGCCCCACCAATCATGAGCCAAGAGTCAAGGGTGGGAGGGATTCAAATTGCCCCCTCAATCGTGAACCAGGAAGTAAGGGGCAGGTGGATTGACAGTGGTAGGGATTCAAGCTCCAATCATAAGCCACAAATTTTGTACTGTAGAAGGGACCCAAGCTGCCCAATCATGAGTAAAAACAGAAGGGAGAACCCAAGTGCAAACTCAACATTACCCAACCAGGAAGGAGAGCAGGAAGACGGACAGTGAAAGGGCCAGGCCTTGAACTGTGTAGAGTTGTATAGAATTGTGTAGAGTTGTGTCAGATGGACAACAGACTATAGGATCCCTGGAAAGCACAGCCTAAGAATTCTTGCCTGAAGTATAACTTTATACAGCTCTAGTCACTAACCTTGCCACTAATCATGAGCTAGGGCAGGGGGAAAAGGGAGTAATGTGAGGCCATCCTATAGATCAATAAACAGAAATTTCCTTTGGCTGCCTCCTGTGGTTCTGTCAGACAGTGGGGTGGGTGGAAGTTTAAATGAGAGAAAGGCAGATGTCATGGGGGCATTCTGACTGCACCAGATGCACTAGGAGGGGCTTAGCCTTCTACGGCGCAAACTGGTGTTGCAATGGGTTTCAGGGCAGCTGCAGAAAGGATTTGCATTTGGGGGAGATAGCACACTGTACCTTTAACAGGCATCTCCCTCTTAATTGTGAGAGTCTGATTCAGCCAGCCTAAGGCCAGCCTGGCTAGTTAGGATTGTGCCCTAAGTCAGGACGAGAAAAAGAAAGAAAGTTTTATTTTAGTGCTAACATTTTCTAAATTTGGAGTAGGGTTCTGTGACATAAATAGTGCTTT